AGAGAGAGAGAGAGAGAGAGAGAGAGAGAGAGAGAGAGAGAGAGAGAGAAGGATGTTAGGGGGAAAATTCCTCAATCAAGCTGTTGAACTTGTTCTGGCACTGGAAAGCATGGAGAGGGGTGCAATCAGATTGTGTGAATATTTGTCAGTAATGATTCAATATTATGCAGATTTACTGTGACATTTGTAGAAATGTAGAATTCATATAGAGATGCCAAAATGTGTCTGATAGTGTACGTCATCGAAAGCTACATTTAATACTGGGCTAAGAAATGTGTGATGAGAGGTTCTTCACAGATTAAGTAAGTGCTTATTATCCTTAAAAATATATAAATAAAATAAAAAAATAAATAAAAAATAAAAAACAAGGCAGCACCATTTTGTTGCCATAAAATAAATTAAACCCTTTTGGAATAAAGCACACTTTTATTTTTTTCTGAAAACATTTATTTGAAATATTCTTTTTTTGGAACATTATAACATTACTGACCCCAAACCTTTGAACTGTAGTCTACATACTATAATCTACTTATCATAACTATAAAAACAAATTCAAATTTTAATGAAATAAAATTTTATATTATATTTCCATTTTATTTCATTAAAATTTGAATTTAACTATACACAAAATATAAAATACTTGAAACTGGTGCTTCACTTTCAACACTGCATAAACTCAAAACAAACTTTCATTAGATTTTCAGTAATCTTTGAATGTGTATATTAATATAAATTCTGTAAACCAAAACTTAAAAATATATAACTTTTTTTTTTTTTTTTTTTTTTTTTAAAATACTGCCAATGCCAACCTGCCTGCAATAATCCTGTGATATTCAAATTCTCTCATAAATGAAACGGATGAGGTGCACAGATAGTGCTGCATTTAAAAGTTCCTTTCAAAGGAAAAGGAGGAGAGCATGCACACTCGTGTTCAAATCTGGAGTTCATTCAAAGGTGACAAGTGGCTACATTCTTCTCTTTCAAACATCCTTTTACATACACTTCACAACAGAGGAAACCATCTTATCTTTTTCCACTACCCTGTACAAAAGAGAATCTTAAACCGAATTGGGGGTTTGGGAACGAGCCAGAGCGCTTGGTCCAAAATGTCAAAGGTGTTGGTTGAGTTATTGTGATCCCAGCATCAGAATGTTATCTCAGCCTCGGGTAAAAAAAAAACAAAACAAAAAAAAAAATTACCAAAAAATACTAAAAACCTTCTGCCAGGAGCT